TAAATTGTAGTCGAAATGATTACCTTATTAGTTAAGTCTTTAAGAAAATTCTCTTAGGGCCCGCACGCACTTTGTCTGGAGGGCTCCTTCAGTACTTCTAATAATAACTTTCAGGCTGGGTTGCACCATCTTACTTTATCTGTGACAAACGTCAAAAATCTGTCAAACTCCATACAAAAACACCGGTTTGGCGTCATAGTTACCGTTAAAGTTAGGTGGTGCAACTCAGCCTAACTGCCGAGAAACTAGACCCAATTGAAAATCTATTGTTTGGGGCTCACCAGTGACACCAGTTTTAATAGCTTATTATAATAAACTTTTCATATTATCTGAAATTAAAGGTTTATCACTATATAGTAAAAAACAAAGTCGCTTTCCGCTGTCTGTCCGTATGTATGCTTAGATCTATAAAACTACGCAACGGATTTTGATACGGTTTTTTTAAATAGATAGAGTGATTGAAGAAGAAGGTATATAGGTTAGGTATACTTACTTAGCAACCTTGCGAAGCCGGGGCGGGTCGCTAGTTGTGAATAATTTGTAGGAGTCCGCGATCACATTGTATCAAATAACATTGTAAAACTGCTTAAATTGTAAGACTTAATACGCTAATGTAGTAAAGCAATAAAGTATTGAGTATTGAGTACCACCATTAAGTACTTAAAATAAAAAAACCCCAAACTCTCAGTACTAAATCCAAAAACACACGCTGCATTGAGTCCGCAAGCTCCACAGTGAATAATCCATAGACAATGGTAACCCACCCCGAAATTGATGTGACCAATAAAAAGATGCATCACACGAGCCACACAGTTTCTGTGTCAGTTTTGGCTCGTAAAATCTGGATCCATGCGAAAACGAAGGAGTATAAAGTGTTGACTCCACTGCCAAGCTAAGGTAGCTTGCTTAGGCCCAGTTTTTTGATTCTTAGTTAAATTAACCAATACTTAAATTTGACAGATATCAAATGACAAGTGGTTAAATATCAGAAAAAATTTTTTTTCGAACAATGGTTAACTTGACTTTTATTTCGTACATTTTTAACCATTAGTTTACATTTTCTTAATATTTAACCATTAGTAGTATTTATCAATTAGTTATTTTAACTATGAATAAAAAAAACTGGGCCTTAGTTGTTGTTAGTACTGTTGAAATAATCCATAAATCAATAGACTTATCGATACTAACAGTCGGTTTCTTTTCAGGTGTCAAGCGGTGCACGGTGAAAAGTGAGTAAGTACCTACTTATACTATTTACATTAATTTACTTAAATACATAGATAAACACTTCATGCAATGTTATGGCAAAAGACAACAAAACCTGATGCGTTTCGTTAATCTAAAATAACTTTTCTAGAAAAACTACTGTTTTCTTTCAGTGATTTTGTTTTCAAGACTCAAAACTATTGCAAATATATTTTTTAGCTACGTTTTTAGATTAACATAAAAAAATAGCCTTGCACCGCTCATAGTGTACCCGTACCTTACTCAAATGGTCAGCAGAGTCCCCGTAGCCGGCCATCAAACGCCTGAAAAACGACAGCAATCGTATCGCTGAAATGTTGCAACATATACAACTTTACGATTTATACGGGCAACTGCAGTTACTGACGTACGTGGATAGATCAGACCGCACACTGATCTGTATATTGTTTAGATGCAAAAGCTGTGAAGTAGGTCAAAAGTAAAGAATAAGAAGCTTTGTGCAAAAAAATATTATACAAAATAGAAATAAATAAACAATCAGACACCTAAGTAATTACTGTCTTAGGCTGAGTTGCATCACCTAACTTTGACCGTAACTATAACGATAACCGATGTTTTTTGTATAGAGTTTGACGGATTTTAGACGTTTGTTAAAGTCGAAGTAACATTGGTAATTGGTTGATAAGGTGCAACCCAGTCTTAGACCATAATATGACCAATAATTACCATAACACTAAAGTAAGTTCCAGTTTTCGATATCTTCTAATAGGGTTGAAACATATCTTATACATTTCTCAAGATAATTAAGTGCATTAGGTATAAAACGAATAATCATTTTTCATAAGCTATGGTAAACATCCCTTCATTAAGGTTCTAGCAATTCCTTTTGCCTCAACACTGAAAGTTGATGTAGTCGCATAATCTGGTACAATAAAAACAGATGATGGAAACTTTGATCTTTATTTCCATGGACTTGAAGAAAGCTATAGGTACTTAACAATGTTGACACGATCTCTTCCCCTAATCGAGTAAAAGAAAATAGCAAAGAAGTAGTTAACAGTATTTTGTTGGGTCTGCAACATTTCGAAATATACCTACTCTTATATGGAAACGTCATCTTTTCTTTTGAGTCGCTAAGAAACAAGTAATGAATGATTCGTATTGACAAGTACTTCACTCTCATAACCAGGAGTCTGATGATGGAACTGGGATGTAGTTATTAGAAAATTTATGCAAAACCATGTTGTTAAAAAAGATTTTTAAAATAATATGAAGCGCTTACTCTTGATTATACTACCCTTAAATTATGCAAGTGCGATTAATATGGAGCGAGCTCGTGTTAAGCTGAGGCTTGAGGGTGTATGAATTAGAAACAACGTCGTACCAACCTCACTTCAAGCCACCTCGATGTTTTCCTTTCTCCGCACGCTCCAAATCCAACTGCAAAACAGAATAAGGCTCTCGATATAAACGCCCGGATCAAGTCCAGCACTATTACTCGTACCTTCCAGATATAAAAATTCCTCAGTGAAGAAATTTTTGCCTCCCTGAAGATCGGCGGCAATTACTGGCTTATCTTCTATGCGAATTTTCTGAGCGACTTTAAATAGCTATCATTTTCCCAGGCGGCTTCGGAACCGCGGAATGCTCGCTAACACTGCGGAACGACGGTATTATAACCGTTATGCTGTTATTCTAACGCGCCATTAGTGGAAGAGGCAACATTCAGGCAGTTAAAAGATCACCAACCCCTTTCTTGGGGTCTTACACGAGTGGTACACGCGTACAGATTACGCGCAAGTTTTTTTTTACGTGACAGGAGGCAAACGAGCAAAGTACGTTTCAAGATTTCTTCTGAATGAAATGAAAGTTATTTTCGCAGAAAGACAGCGATTTGGGTGACACACATTAAAGATACGAAATGCCTACAAAAGATCTATTCCACTCGTGGGTAATGCCTAAGCATAAACTAGGGCTTTTGTAACATTTTCTACGTAACAATTCAATTATGGATTGATTGCCTAAATAATTTACATGCAACAGATTTAGATTTCATGAATGGACGTTTTAACATAAACCCAATAAACTTCACCTAACATCTTACAAACAGAAAAAGCATGGTGGAGCTAAAATATTCAGATCCTCATTAACCAATGGAAAAGTTAACGAGATATAATTAAGCCTATACATATAAAATTCCCTTTTCTGTTCTAATAAAATTATAACATCACACGAGGTGGAATTAGAGGTAAGTATCTTACCCTATTTTGTTCTGTTTATTCCGTTAATGGAGCTTTAAGATACTATAGTAAGGGAGGGAGAAAGAATACACAAGTTTCTATAATACTATAGTAAGGGAGGAAGAAAGTATGAACATATAGGTGTCAATGGTGATAGGCAAAGATATTAGATATTTAGTTATAGCTTGAGCGTACGCATCTTCTACTCAAGGTTGAATTTCATACTTAATTAGAAGATGAACGCTCTAGCCAAAATTGTCAATTAGAAACCGTGCTTTAGTACACTTACGACTTTTTAAACATTCAATTAAATAAAACCAATTCAATATACACTAATTTATATTATTTCAATAACATTTCACTGTTTTAACTGAATTGGAAATGTAAAACCAATCAATGTAGAGTACTTCAACTCAACTGACCCAACAAATTAAAAGGCGGGGAGCACCAGAATGTTTGGAAAACAGACGAATGGAAGCGAATTCTTCACTAAAAAGTCGTGAAAATGGGAAGTTTATCCTATAATCAAAAGTAAATGGACTGCAACGGAATACAGCGTAAACATCAAATATTCGCGAAGCCAACGCGGGCGAATTTTCGAAAGGGCCTCTTACATTTTATTGAGAAGAATTTAACTTGAGGAGAACTTGATTGAGGGGAACTTTTTTATTGTTTATTGTGTGTATCGTTTAAATTAGAATTAATACCTAACATCAACTAAGTATAAGCATCAAGTAAGTAATAAACGTGTGTTTATGTATTTTTAACATAACTATTCGCCATTCGTCTTAATTATGGAAATGATGTGATATTATTACAATTTATTTATCGTATCGTCGGAAAAAGAAGTTAAATAAGATTTGAAAAATAAACAGAATAAATGAAGCCAATAAGTAAGCACCCCTTTTCCCTCTCGAGTCTGCTTTCAATCTATTCCATCAATATTTCGGGGTTAGTGGCGAAAAAATTCAATATATTTTTTGTACCTCGGGCCACAATTAAAAAGTAAACGTTTCTATATTCCTCTGGTGAACCCCAAAAAAATTCCGCGTCGAAAATTGAATTTTAACAGCGCTGTTGTCCGTGCAATGTGCTCAAAAAATGTTCGTCTCCGCTTTCAATGAGCGCCAATTTTGCTCTACGTTTTCCGTCTGATATAAAAAGCCATATGAAATGCCGTGATAAAAGGCAATAAAACGAACCAATCCCGACACTGACATGGGCTGTCGAGCATGTTTATAAATTATCCTGCTTTCGCCTCCGAGATTTATTTTACCATGTAGTACCCCTGTACGACAACCCAATCCGCACACAATATTCAGCGTAGTAGTATTAAAAAACAAAAGAGCGGGCAACCCCACCCCTACCACGCTGTGGGCTCGGTGTCCGAGCGGTCTCATTCCTTTGTGCGCACGCGCAACGACCGCACGCAGTATAAGAAAAATGCTTAAGTGACGTCACCAGGACGTTTTTACCGACAAAAAACGTAATTATTTTAAGTTGTGCAGTGTAGTGACGAGAATTAGACCCAACAAAAGGTTGGTTGTAAAAAAACAAAAAAAAAGTAAAAAGTGTCCGAGACATTAAAAACGATCATTGAATAGCCTGCCATAAACCAAACCGAAACCGTCCCACCAGATGCACCGACAGAGGGGCGCCACCATCGTTTAACTCTATAGTTTTTAATAGTCAAAAATTGGAACCAGCGATCCGGCATTGATGGTGGCGCCCCGCCGCCATCGCACGGATAGGTCACGGTTGGGTCCATACATAAATATAGTGATCTGTGGAATGAATAAAAACAAAACACCGTCGTATGATTAAAATTTCTCTCTGACCGCCGCCAGCCAGCCATGCCACTTCGCTCCAATCACGCCATACATAAGTGCCACGTAATCACCGTTATAATACCACCAAGCAACAAATAAACAGAGGAGAGGCGTACTTGTCGTGAGGATACCATGGGTGTGTGTTTTGTGGTAGTGTTTTCGCTGCGACAAAGATGACGCTCTGGCAGTTCGAAAGATCAACGACTTTGATGGTAAGCTACGCTCATTAATCCTCCTCTCTCCGTTCCACATTTAGCCTCTCTCTAATCCGTACGTAGATGGTATGTGTAAAATGATGCATTGTGCTTTAGTCTTCCAGGTCCAGTGATGATAATATGTTGAGGAAGCAACCACCATAGCACCATCACACTAAAGCGAGATGGGTCGCTAGGCACCTATGCTGGGACGAAACCATGTAACCCGTGTACATGTTACGTGCATACACTGTAGGTAGGTAAACTTCCAGATTGAGATTCATATTCTTTGAAGATCCAAGAGATGTTTTTTGACCTGTGTTTTAAATGTGTGTTTTACTTCCAGGGCACGAATCGGCGGGGGGAGATCGTTCCAACAACGCGTCGCAGCGAACCTGAAGGAGCCACGAAATGCGACTGTTCGATGCCTCGGTGTGGAGAAAATGTGGGTGCATGCTCGTTTCGGATACTTTCTATGACCATCAGCCCACTCCAACTTATCATACAGATATTTGGGCTTTGCTGCTACAATAATGCCAAACAACATAGTGGCGAGATGCAACCTCCTGCGCGCCTCCATTTTAATAAGGCCTGCAGAGTTTAAGAAGGGGGTAATATGTGTGCGTGGCGGCACAGTAAAACAGAAACGCGCACATGCATTCTGAACTCTTTGAAGCAGTTTCGCTGACCTGGCGAGTAGGCATGGACCATACACTGTGTCACAGTAGTTTAGTTTGGACAGTACAAGAGATTCACAAAGCAATATTCTGAGTTTCTCACTAATATATGGTCTAAGCCTGTACAGCACTTTCAGCCGATAAAAGCAGCTCCTAACACACTCACTGATATGGCTCTCGAAACGAAGGTGGCTGTCAAAAACTATGCCCAGGTTCCTTGCTTCCACCACTCTCTCAATGGGCTCTCCATTTATAAAAACATTGAGGGCTATAGTACTTAGTTTTTTTATATTTTTAGCAGTTCCAAAAAGCATAAGTTTTGATTTTTTGGGGTTTATCACCAGGCAGTTATTCTTGCACCACTCTGAGATGCTCCGCAAGTCGTTGTTCACCCTGGTCACTCCATCGGCATGGTCTGACGGTGGGAATGGCAGGTACAACTGCAAGTCATCTGCATATAAATGATGATGACAGTGTCTTATAGTTCCCGTTATATCTGCACTGTATAAAATGTATAAGATAGGGCCTAATATTGATCCTTGAGGGACTCCGCGGATTACTGGTTTCAGTGTCGATTCCAACGTAGTACCATCCTTTTGCTTTAGCTGAACATACTGATGTCTTTGTGTGAGGTAACTGTGGAACCATTTTACAGCAGTGATATGAAGACCATAGTAACTCATCTTTGAGAGAAGAAGAGGAATGCTGATTGTGTCAAAGGCGCGCGAGAAGTCGAGCAACAACATCAATGACACTTGGCCCCTGTCCTGGGCAGCCAAGAGATTGTCAACCACATCAGCCAGTGCGGTTGCAGTTCCATGACCTCTCCGGAAGCCAGACTGATAGTGCGGGAGAATGTCTTGTTCTTCAAGGTATTTGGTAAGTTGACCACACACGATTCTTTCCAACACTTTCGAAAGGCATGGGAGCAAGCTGATAGGTCGAAGTTCCTGCACTGTAACTGGTTGGCTGGTTTTTGGCAGTGGTTTGACAAGCGCTATCTTCCAGCTCTCAGGAAATACACACTCCTCGATTGACCTATTGATCATCAAAGTAATAGCCTCCAGTGAGTGAGGCAAGGTTAACAGCAGCATATCTAATGATATGCCATCATCTCCCTGGGCATTTGTTTTCAGCGATCTGATAGTTTTCAAAATGACTTCTTCGCTGACCGTTTGAATAGTAAATGGGGCGGCACCACGGTTGTATCTATGTAGCTCAAAGTATGTCAGTTGTGATATTGATATATTATTCTCACCGGGTACATTTAGAAAGTGCGTGTTTATTAAGTTTGGATCACATAATGATGGAGGGAAATCAGTAGACTCCTTTTTGTTGGTTAACACAGAGCTCTTGAGATTTTTCCATAGCTTTTTTGGGTTACTGAGGCTGCCACTTATATGAGTGTTAAAGAAACTCTTTTTCTCCCGCTCGATTGCTTCTAGCACTATGCGCTTCATTGTAATGTAGCTGTTCTTGAGTACAGATGTTTTATGTAATTTGTATTTTTTGTGGTAGGAGTCTCTCAACTGCATCATTTGTTTAATAGTGTCAGTTATCCAAGGGTGTGGAGGGTGCTTAAATTTACGCTTTTTGACGGGAGCATGGAGATCCATTAGTCCTACCACACAATCAGTGAAGGCAGCAACTAGATTGTTTACCCCATCGATTCTTCCAAAGTTATACCAGTTGATTGCTTTCAAGTCAGCATTCATTTGTTCATGGAGTATATCTTTAAGCGGTCTGTATGTCACCCAGTATGGTTTTGGTTTATCCTTCCTTACCTTGAGCTCCGCCAACAACATAGCATGGGCGCCCAGGTCAGGAGAATGCCTCACTGTCACCTGAAGAGCCCGAATGTCAGTGCATATTAGGTCTATCAGTGTACTGCTGTGGTCGGTATGATGTGTGGGTTCCAATACTATTTGCTCAAGGCTAAGGGTATGAATGAAGCGTGTAAACTCCCTACATTTGCAATGGTTTTCGTCTAGGAGATTAATATTAAAGTCGCCCACTAACACCAGCCCATCGCATTTAGGAAAAGATGTAATGGATTCGGAGATTGCATCAAAAAATGTACCCACATCCTGCCATGGTGGTCTGTAGGCTGTGCCGACTATCACGACCTGGTTGCGAAGGCGTAAGGATATCCACATCTGCTCAACAGACCCAGCAGTGTCAGGGTGAGGACATGGCCTTACATTAAGACCTCTCCGTATATAAAATCCTATACCACCTCCGCGTCCCCCTCGGATGTGAATTGGTCTGGGGGTGTGTTTCAGCCGATAGCCACTCAGTTTCGGAGCCACATCATCCTCCCCCGCTCTAAGCCAGGTTTCGTTTATGGCCATAATGTCCGGGGCAAGTTCCTCAATTGCAATAATAAATTCCTCATGTCGAGTATTCAGAGACCCCGCATTAAATAGACCCACAAGTAAATTTTTCTTTAACCCAAGGCCTGTTGATTTAGTAGGTTATGTAAAAGCTGGCCCACAGTCAAGCGAGAAAACAAACAATCATATTTGTGGTAATTAGTAGTAGCAATGGCATCCGCAACATCAATGTAAATACAATTATGTTCTTTGTGTTCAATATAATATACTGGCATTAAACAATCACAATAATCACAATGCATTTCATTCTTACTTCCGTTATATAACAGCATGTTTATGCGACTTAAAACAAAATTTGGAGCAAGTTGATAAAAGACTAATATGTTTAAATAAATAGGGAACATTGACAATACAGAGGTAAGCAATCCATTTAGCAGAATGGCGTTGAGGTTTTTAATTATTATATCTAAGGCAAACCTTATTATAACAGTACTAAATTTACATTTACAGGGACCCGCGACTGTTAGTCATATGCTTGGCGAGCCGAAAACCCTGTCAAGGTCGACCAGGGTGCGAATTTGATACACCTGCGCACCATCACTCTTACGAGCAAAAATGCGACCCCGTCTCGTCCAAGAGTATCTCCACTGAAGCCGATGACACTCCTCGCGCACCCGGTAGAATAGCTGGCGATTGAAGCGAGTCAGGCGCTCGTTGATGTACACCCGGCCGCCGCCCTCGCCCGTAGAGCCGCGACGCACGCGCGCGGCCCGCAGCAGGTCGTCGCGCAGCTGGCGGCGCGCCAGGCGCACCACCACGCGGCGCGGGCTTGTTGCTAAGGGGGCGTTCTAGTGTTACGTAATGCAATCTGGGGGGAGAGGAGGTCTTGAAAAACGTTACAATGCGTTACAGTGGCGGAAGGGCGGTTCGATTTCAAGTTTTTAAGCAGAAGTACTTTGTAGTTGGTGTTGTTATTTGTAACTTTATACCGTAATGTCATCAAAGAGAGAGTTTGGCATCTTTGGCACCCTCCCTCCATGTCCTTGCCATGATCACAAATTATTGTGTTCCTACTAAATTTCTTCTAAATCGGTTCAACGATTCTTGAAATAACACCATTTTATAAAATAATTGGTTACATCATCATAACGTGATCAATTTTACGATTTGGCCACGATATAAATGCATATTAGTGTTAAATTTGACTTATTAATTATTAATCAATAAACTTAAATGAGAAAAATTCAATAAAAATAAAGAAAAGATACCAATTGAAATAATTATAAAATTATTTGTTTTCACCCGGTGTAAACACCCACGGGTGGAATGAAACGGGTTTTTATTGGGTTTTTACCCTCATGTGGGTTTTTACCCGGGTGGAAACCCATCTCTAGCTCTTACACGAGACGCATTTCCAGCTGGCCCGGTGGTCCCCGGTCAGCGTGTTGTAAAAGCGCTGCTCGGATACTCCAGCGCATTCCAAGTCATATGAGTCCCGGCACAGACTGCAAACCAGGAACCTCCGGTCCTCGATTTTCTTAAGGCAGCCACTGCAGTTCTTAATGCATTTCTTTCCCTTTGGCGACATTCTGTTCTGAGTATCGAGTTACAAATACGAAAGAAGAAAATAAAAATAAAAAAAAAACAAAAAATATTTTAGTATTCGGATTTGAACCCACAGTCCCTACGTCAGTGCGCGCCAGTCCCACGGCTATCCAACCGCGCCACCGTGTCACGTGAGTTGTGAGCGAAATTTGACACTTGTGTAAACAGTGGCACGGACGGTCGTTGAACCGGTCAGCTGTCGAGTTCAATGTACCCGACACGACACACAAAATAAATGTTTGCACCGAACACTGTACACCTGTTTTTTATATTTTCTACTTTGCCGAACTTTAGCGCGAGAACGGTTTGTCCAAAACTTATGAACTTGGTCTTATTCAATGCAGGATTTAGTGCCCTTTAACCGTCATGAAGACCACTTTTCGATTGGGTAAGTCCTTTACGCGGTATAACCGGAAAATCGAAAAAACGCCCCTTTCGGGGGCCCCCACCACTTAAACACAACTCCGTCGAAGTCGAAAACTTAGGAGAGTCTTAATGGGCAACCAATGAAGCCATTAAAGCAAAAAAATCTTTTGTAGGAATTATTTCCGATTTAATCAATTTTTGTGTTTAATTCTACTGGCCTAATAAGCCATATTGCCCATGTTAGATGACAAATTCCTACTCAACCCGCACTTTTGTTCGTAGTATTATCATTCCAATTGTCTTGTATTTATTGTGATAAATGCATTGCCTGCGAATTGCATCAACCACGGTGATAATTACGAGTGCTAAACCCCCTGAAAGTCTGGCAAGTGAGGAGGCGCGCCGAGCGAGTCGGCGGACAATCGCGGAGCGGCCGTCATTGTGGCGAGAGGGCGCCCGCGCGGGTCACAGCCCTGAGGACGGCCCAAGGAAAAGTATCAAGCGATTCCAATTTATTAATTATAGCCTTGAAAGCCTTGTCAGTCCCAGCCGACCTGTCGCCACACGTGGTTGAATAGGTAACACCTAAGATAGGATTCAGGTGATTCTTATTCAGTAACAAAAATATGTCAGAGGCAAGTACACCTGAGTTAAGGTGATTCTTATCCAGTAATAAAAAGATGTCAGAGGCAAGTTGGCAAACAGTGTAATTAAGTAAGTAACAGAATAATTTACCAGAAAAAACTCATCAATGTTATTTTGAGCTAGAACAGCACTTATTACTGTCAACTATAAGTACTATCCAGCCACATTTCCAGCATTAACAATGGCTGAAGCTGATTAAGCGCGTATTGTAACCGCTACCTCTTACACCTTGTTGCTGCATAAAATATGAGCGATGTTAACATACATGTATCATTATCGGCGGCATTGTGCGTCGCGGATTATCCGCCCCGTGCTAATACTTTAATTAATGCTGCCCTCCGCCACCCCGCCCGCCCTGGGGTCCTTAAGTCGCATTGGGCACACACGCGTACCTATCTGTAGATATTTTGCTAGGTGGGCAAATAAACAGGAGTTTTGTTTACTTGTGGATTTATTTTTATATAGTTAAGTGCCTGTTCATTTTAACATTTTAGTATGAATAAAGTTTAAAGCTTAGTAAGTAATGTATGTAATGTAATTTCATTTCATAAAAGTAAAAGTGACTGAAAAATGTGAAAGGAAAAATGAAGGAATGCTTTCTCGTTTGATGAAAAATATGAAAAATTGATCTTACTTTAGAAGGGTTCATAAAAATCGGTTTATTAACCCTCTCTCTAAACGTTCGTGTGAGCGAGCTTAGAATAGGTACACGTAATTTTTCATTAATATGCATTACATTTTTGATTGCAGCGTTTGTTAACCAGCTTGCTTAATCCGCGTTTCTGCGTGTGGCAGGATCTCACAATGCAATTTGATCCATGAATATTAAAGAATGAAGCGTCAGCGTTGAATTTAGATAGACTTTTGCTTACGTAGCGATGATCCGAGGATCAGTCTAACTCACACATCGGTAATGAGCGTCTTGTAGGCGTTTAATTAGTTAACAATTCTAATAAATTGGAAGCCAAGAGGTTGATTGTTTTACAATATTAAAATAAATACTCAATCATAAATATACTTGAGCCAAGAATAAAATGATTGTAATGGATTGAAGGGCATTTATGAACGACGACATCCCCATGGGCTGTCCCCACATTCTCTTAAAGAGTTCTTAATGAGCAGAGAGTTATATTTAGGTAAACTCAATTCAAAATATATGAGGTTATTAAACTTGTTATAAAATCTAATTAATTTCGTAAATTGAATTTGGCATATTTAGATCCGTCGAACGCCGTAATTAAAATATTGTGTGGATGAACACAGGCGTCGTAATTAACCGGCGCCTATATTAAGCGAGGCACGTCATTACGAGCGAGCGCGACCGCAGCAGTCCGCAGGATAACCGTGGAGTTAGTGTTATTGCCGGAGAAGGCGACTCTGCGGTGGCGTTAGTTGGCGCGAGCTAAGGACGCGTGCAGGCGGAGGAAGACGGAGGGGCGTGATCATGATTCGGAGGGAGATTCTTGTTCTTCATCCTCAAAATCGATGCTTGGCTTACAAACTTGAATACAAGTTTCTTAGTAGTAGCCTGACATAGTCAAGACCAAAATCTATGCAAGCACAACCGCTGAAACCAGTATAAGATAAAAAATGCATGTAATATAGTCGTCATTTCTTCACGCACCAAGTATAATGCCAGGCATTAAAAGCAATCAAAAAATTTAATATTATATTACTATTTTATAGTGTTTGTTAACTCACGACTTAAGAATGACATTAAAATAGCTAACTACGCGTTAAATCTGCCGCGAGTCGCAGAGTTTCAGTTAACTGCTAACCAAATGACGCGGCGATCTCGACTCGCGGCGACCCGGCCCCGCCCGGTCTTATTCTTCAATTTATGGGCCATATACTTTACTCCAAGAGTCACGGTTTAGAATACTATTTCATGGATTAAGTACCTAATTTTAAAGCGCCATTTTTCACAGTATAGGTTGCATATAAAAGGTAACAGATGACCTAAGATTACTCATTGAATTAATGCGATCTTAATAATGTCGCGTGATCGCTGTTAAGTTGCAACAACTCCATTGTCGTATTTTTAAGTAATATGTGAATGCAAGTTACGAGCTCAGTGTATATGTTACTGGTATTTAATTTTACTTTTATGTTAACTGTGACAGTAAATTAAGCAAACAAAATTGCTTAACCCGTGGACGAAAATCTGTACACTGGGAGTATCTTGTTTTTCTAGAAATGTTAAAGCATTCACCTATTAAGAAATGCGCGATAAATTTAGTGAATAAACTTGTAAGTTGGCAGGAAGGCTCATTATTATCATAAAGATTGATTGTAAGGATTGCCTACGGCGGACTCCGTAGCAGCAGCTACGGGGCATGTTCGTAGTATAACGTAGGTACTACGAACGTGACTCGTAGCTGATGTAGACGTACAGCTACAACAGAACTCTAGAGAGAGTAAGTTAAACGTTCCCGTTTCTTCACTTTTGATAAATGCAGTCTGCTGGGCCAAACAAATAAAACATTTTTTATTATTATGTTCTTTTGAAACACCTTGTCTGAATTAAAATTTTTCATTATCACATTGAGCTATAAAGCCCCCGCGCGTCGAGCAAGTGGCGCGAATCAAAAGCCGAGTCCGTGCGAGTGCGAGTCACCGCGTCAAATTAGAACACGCCTCACCTCGTTTAATTA